AAAGAACCCTGTCTGGTATCAGTGAATCCTCACATGAGATACACGCTGACAGGATAGAGGCAAAATTGGTTATAGCCCTGTAAGGCAAATCAATATAGAAAATCATAACGTTCACTTTTCAATCATCCTGTCAAAGATACTATAAAAAACAGAAATGTAAATCAATACTAAAATGTAAATCAGTGGAGTTAGTAATCACTTTCATGTTAATGTACCCATAAGGAATTTAGATTAGTAAAGATCAAAAACAAAATTTTGGATAACAGTACTATGTGGCCTAACCCACTCACTGTTACCTGGCCGTTTACCTGACTCCAGGAGCCCACAGCATGTCCATCTCAACACAGCCGAAGTCTGCACGTGATGTATAACATGAAAGACAACCATGCACACACACAAACAAACAAATTTGTGTAACCCGAGATCGACATCGTGGAACCAACGGGACGTATTTATCACCCCCCTTTTGAAGTCGGTAAATTGTTGTTGTTGGCATTGGCCAAATCGGTGGAACCCTTGTGCAGTTTGATATGGTCCCTGTGGACCCATTTGTAGACGGGCTCCTTGTTTTTGCAGGTAATCTTGATCCGATACACGACCGGAGAGATCTTATCTGTTATCAGGTATTGACAGGTTTTGACCATTTGGGCAAAAGTTTCTTAGCCAGCTTCCCCGTGTTCGCCTTATTGTTGCCCGTTTTGGGAGCGAAAATGTACAGCCAGGCCTCATCACCTACATCGAGTTCGGAATGTGAGGCCTTCTTGTCGTAATAAGATTTCCTGCCTTCAGCCGTCTTCTCCAGATTCGCCTGTGCAAACGAGAATGCTGCAGGCAGGTGGGTTTTCAGGTCCTGCAAGTATTGTTCGCTCGTATAAGCCGGGACTGTTTCGGCTTGAACCGGTTGATACAGCAGGTGAAGCGGTAGGGTCATTTGTCTACCCGTCATCATTTCAAACGGGGAGACACCTGTAGACTCGTGAGGGGTAGCCCGTATGGCCATGAGGACCAACGGAAGCTTCACATCCCAGTCTCGGTGGTTAGCTGACACGTACTTCTTCAACATGCCGATAACCGTTCAGTTCACCCTTTCGACTTGTCCAGAAGACTGGGGGCGGTGGCTAATGTGGAACTTAGCCTTAACACCCAACAGTCCCCACAGATGTTTCATCACTTCAGAGGTGAAATGAGTACCCCTGTCCGAGTCGACCCGCGTGGGCAGACCGAAGCAGGCAAAAACGTGATTCATCAAGAGGATCGCTGTCGTCAACCCATTTGGTGAATGCACAGGTGACAGTCAACATGTATCTATTTCCCCTGCTGGATTTGGTCAGAGGCCCCACCCAATCGAATTGCAAGTCCGACCATGGAGTGGTCGGCCCCCTTTCCTGTAGGGGAGCTCTGTGCGTAGGGTTGGACGGCTGAAACTGACAACAAACCAAGCAACGCTGGACGTGGTCCGAGATGTCACGATGCATCCCCGGCCAATAAGCAACCTGGCTCAGGGCACCGAACGTGGCCTTGTCACCTTTGTGTCCGGCGGAGGGAGAGTCATGAGCCTGCGTGATCATGTCCCCCCTTAGTGGCTTTGGCGTGATGAGGACAGGCGGCAAAGGAGGCTTGGCGGCGTGCATCAGCAACCCTTCGACCATCCTCAGCGTGGCCCGAACGCGAAAGAGAGACCGAAGCTCAGGAACGGAGTCAAGCTCGATGGAGGTCGGTAGCTGGTTTTTAGGATCAGAAAGGTACCTGATCATCCTGCTTATTGCAGGGTCCTGGGATTGAAGACTGACAAGATCGTTACCCGAAAAGGCAGGCCGAACGGACACTGCACCTTTGGATGGTTCCGAGGTGGACGCGTTAGCGGCCTGAGCTCGAGTCACGACACACACGTGGGGTGAACCAGACCGAGGCCACACACCCCCTGGAGCCACATGGGGTTGAAAACCCATGGAGTACCATCGGCCGCGCCCCGTTTGGCCAGAGAGTCTGCAAGGTCGTTCAACTCCTTATCTGGACCGGGTGCGCGAGAGTGTCCTTTGACTTTACGCCAGTAAACGTGCATGTCAAGTGCAGTCAACAGGGCGTCACATGCCATGAAGAGTTCCTGATGTTTGACGGGCTTCCGGTTAGCGGTCTGAAACCCGTTACTCTTCCAAGACGGTAGATGACATATCGGACTCGGACGCGTGTAGTCCGAGTCAGTGCAAATCACCAGCTCACGGAGGCCATGGTCCCTAGCGCGGCGTAGCACTATCAAGATCCCCGCTACTTCAGCAAACTGTGAGTTTTTTTTCACCCAGAGAGTAACATTGGGATTCCCTCTGGTTAGCGTCTACCCAGACGACACCTACGCCCGCTCTAGGCACAGGACCGTGCCGAAAAGCACTGCCATCGACGTACACGGTCGGCAAGTCCGCACAGAATGACTGGTCAAAGTAGTGGTGGTTGTGGTTTAGAAGAGTCTGAGGAGGGCTGGCTGGCGGGACTGACGCGATGGCGTCGTCCGAGCAGTGTTGGCACGCAGCCAAACCCATGCCAAGAGGGCTACGTCAGTTCTGGGCGTAGCGCACCTTAATGTCGAAGCTTTGAAGAGCCAGCAGCCATGACGAGATCCGCGCATTGGTCACCACACCATCTCTGATGCGCTGACTGTTGAGGAAGGTCACCGGCTGGTGCTGTGTCTCAATGATGATTTTCTGGCCACCAATGTAGTTCGCAAAGTATTTAACTGCCCACATGGTGGAAAGCAAAGCCTTTTCACAGTCCGAGTACTTCAACTCAGGCCCAGACAAGAGTTTACTAGCATAGGCGACCACACGCCTGTCGCCAGGCCCGGAGTGGCTAATTGGGAGGGTCTGGAGAATTCCCGGTGGGCCGCGCGATGTTTGGGCCGCATGGGCCGGTGCTCTCGTTTTTGTTTTTTATCATTTTATTTTTATTTTTTGGTGCCGGTGTTCAATCATGGCACTGAGGCCGCCGGGCTGATCTCATACGCTCCTCCCGGTTGTCTCTGGCTGGCTCTAGCTGCAGGCTGCAGCTCTTTTTTTTTCCTGTATAAGCCTGTGCGCACCACGTGACACGCAGTTGATGGAAAGATGGAAAGTAGAAAGAGCAAGGGTGGCGCGGAGAAGGCAAGAATTAAAAAGAGGAAAGCCCTGGAAACAGATGCAACTAAATGTGCAAAAATGAGCACCTTTTTTTCTCAAACAAGCTCGTGGTCTTTAACTTCAAATGAAGATAAAACGGGTAAGGCAAGTCAAAATCAGCATCAGAAAAACTTTTTCCCCGAGGGGCAATTAAAAAAAAGAACAGCAGAGCAGCATGATGTTTATAAATAAAGCTTTGATTGATTGATTGATTGATTGATTGATTGATTGATTGATTGATGTTGGACATACGAACATTGAATAAATAGGCAATAAGATATAAAGCAGCAAGAAGATGGATTAAACCGAAAAATATGCAGAAAAACACTGAGTAAGTGACTAAAGTGTCGTCTGTGTAAAAGTTAAATATATGGAGAGCCCAAGGAGAGGGTTTATCAGGGGATGGTCTTATCTTATCTGCTGGAATTAAAGAACAGAATGGCTTTGCGGACAAAGGTGGCTCAAATGCAGCCGAGGCATCGCCCAGAGGGGAGCCATTGAAATGCGGGGTGGAGAATGTGAGAGGGGTTGTAGAGGATTTTGGCTGCCTGTCTCAGGGCTTGTTGATAGAAAACCTGAGCAAGAGTTCTGACAGGCAGGCCAACGATTTTGGAACACACTGATGTAGTGTGCTGCAGTCTGTTCCTGTTCTGGAGGCTAAGAAAGTAGAACCAGCAAGTGATGGAGAAGGTCATGACAGTGGCGGATCTAGGATTTTTCTGAGGGTGGGGCCATCAAGGGGCCACAATATTTATAGGGGGGCCACGTACAGTCCAACATACTTGCATACTATTCCCAGTTTTTTATGGTAGATACAGTTTACCACCCACACCATGTTGAAAAACATTAATGCAATTGTACATTAATTTTTACTGTACATAGACAAAATACAACCACACACAGCATTTGAGAAATTTTAGCATTCAATTTATTTTGCTAAGGCACAAATATAAGATTAAAATATGTTTGTGTGTGGAAAAAAACACCAGAAGAATATCTTGGTAGGTCAAAGGAGGAAAGTGAACAGGACACCAAGAAATGACTGTAATCTATTTAAAAACTGAACATACTGGTCTCCATGACACATTAAACAGACATGCAACAATGACATGGAATCAGTTTGAAAAAGCTGAGCATGTTTTACTTTATTGCCCAAAATAAAAAGTTGAAAGAATTATTGTCAATCACCAATGACTTCTGAACAGTGACTTATTATGGTCATTACCAAACCTCCTTGGCATAAAGCAGATGAGTCCTGATCTCATTACGCCCTTAACTCATTTAGTTTAAAACATCTCTGTAACAAACATGCAGTTTCATGTGGTTGTCTACTGTACATCCTACTCTTCTAAAAGAGCATTATTCTTCGGTTTTTGTGATGAGAACTAAAAAGTCTCACAAATTCATTCATGTCTAATGCTTTTGCTCGTCTGGACTCAATACTCAACACCCCAAGATGACTCAAGCGCTCATCTGTCATTGTTGTTCGCAAATGATTTTTAATCAAACTTAGTGCCGAAAAGCTGCACTCACATGAAGCACTGCTCACCGGAATTACAATGGCTATTTTTGCAAGCCTAAATAATTTAAGAAACAGCTCCTTGAATGGTTCTAGGAATACTACAAATTCTAGAAGTGTAGTAAACCTCTGCATCCCACTTTTTTCTTTACAATCCAACAGTCTCTTTATCTGTTGAAGCTCACTGGCCAGGTAATCAACATTTGAATCAAAAAACTTGGCAAAGGAAAAAAGAGCATCTTCTTGCAAAAAGGTGATGCTTTGAGGATGAAGTGCTTGGATTCCCTTCATAATTGTGCAGTTGCGCTTAGAGAAACGTCGTTGAAGTTCACCTGTCATTGAATCCAAAACTGGATAGAAAATGTGTCTTTTAAAGTTTTCCCTGTCATTTTATCAACTCTACGCTCACCAGTTGATGTGGTAAGTATGTAATCATGTAGCCGCCTATTTGTCTTAGGCTGCCTCTTCTCAGTCTTTTCCCAACTTTGATCACACTTTACAGCCATTTCCTCCACCTCCCTCCATACAACCTCAAAAAAGGCCTCACTCCTGTATTTCTGCAACGTGGCCAGTAAGGAATCCACAAGACTGACTGCTGCTGAGAGGTCCAGTGAGGGCGACTGTAGCATGTCTGACAAAAACTTGGACTGACCCAGGACTTTTTTGGACATAACCAAGAGTCCAATAAAGTTAAGATCAATTTGGGCCAGTAAGCCACGAGCATCTACTGCCCGATCACCTTGACTTTCCAGCCCAATTTCTTGCAGTAAACGGCACACTGCTGGGAGTCTGTCAAGCAGGTTGTGACAGGCGGCGTACCTGCAAGCCCACCTAGTGTCACTTAGCTTTGGAAGTTCACGAGGCGGACCGTCATACATTTCTCTCTGAATGCTATGCCATTTTGTGTGCACATATGATCCAGACAAAAAACTATGTAGTTTCTGAAGAAGTGAGAAAAAACAGTCAGCCTCAGAAACGGATTTCACACTATCAACAATCACAAGGTTCAAACAATGAGCATTACAATGCACATAAAATGCATATTTGGCTACTTCCTGAATCCTTGTACACACACCTGAGTGCTTGCCGCTCATGACAGTAGCACCATCGTATCCCTGGCCAACCAGGTTGTTGCGGTATTCTAGTCCATGTTTTTCAAGGCATTTTATGATCAAGTCAGTGAGCCCTGCTGCATCTAGGCTGTCAGCTTTCATGAAGTCAATAAAGCTCTCATGTATGACCCCTCTGTAATAATATCTGATGACCAGTGACACTTGCTCTTTTTTCTGAAGGTCTTTGGTTTCACCTGCTATTATACTGAACACCTCACTCTGTTTAACTTCCCTTACTATTTCCTCTTGAACCATTCCTGCCAGGCATTCCAACATTTCATTTTGAATGGTTTTGCTGGTATATTTGGCATTAGCATGAGCTTTCATGCGCTTCTCTAGAAACGAATCATGCTTAGCTATTTCTTCTAAAATAGCCAAAAAGTTACCTCGGTTACCCGAGTCCTCAGATTCTCTGTGACCCCTCTGGGAAATGTTCTGTGTGGCAGTTAAAAGCAGGACTTCTGCAATAGTTTTAATATATGTCTGATTCTCCTTAATTTTCTTTTCTCTCTCTGTGTTAAAAGACTCTGTCATGCATGATTTTGTTTGAGTGGTCATTTCATGCTGTTTCCATGCAAACATAGCATTTTGGTGGTGGTCTGATTTAGAGTGGTCTTTAAAGCCACCTTCTTTACACAAAGCTTTCTTCCAGTTGGAGAAACCACTTTCTGTTCTGAATACAGAAGACAGGGCATTTGGAAGGGAGAAATGGCGGCAGGCATAACAAAATACTGAGTCTCTACTGATGGAGTACTCCAACCACGTGTATTCTCTGTACCATGACTCGTTGAATGCCCTCTTGCGGTTGCCATGTTGCGTCTTGGGGAAAACCTTAAGGAGAGGCTGCACAGGACCCTCTGCTCTTGACTGGGAAATGTCTGGTGGGAAGTAAATGAAATAAGTCTGAGTCAATTGCTTATATCTCTCAACCTTTAACATTCATGGCATTCAGAATCTGCAAGTGATTGACTGCAAATTTCAATTAAATTTTAAAGAGCCTTTACAAAATGAGAAGCATACCACCAGGTCCTACTGGAACAGAACACTGTTCCGATGTCTGCGCAGGACTCTGTGCATCACACTGGAAGATGTCTGAAAACAGCAAATGAAAAATGATCTAACATAAGCCGAATACATACACAAGCATTTATTACTTTCTAAGATCAATGTTTACCATTTGATCCCGCAGGATTAGCAGTGATTGGTGACTCTGGTGGCCCAGCAGGATGGAAGGTTAAGTCATTAATTTTACTCTGGTTGTCCGAATTGGAGAGAGTCTTGTCCCAGTTTGCAGCTAAAACACAAATATATGTCAAACTCCAGCGAAATCCAGCCAAAACTTTGTTTTCTATGAGACCACATTTTTATTTATTTGAAATTGAAGACTTGAAAGATTGGACTATAAAGATGAGTTGTGGTAGATGTAGACAAAGGAACCAATACAATTTAAATCCATTATGTTAATGTTATAGTAAATCACATCGCCATGAAGCGGAAGAATTCAGTAAACATATGTGCCATTAGTACAAGATAACATCATTTAACAAATTTGAGATAATGGTGTGATTTTTTTATTTTTACCTAGAATAATGGCAGGAAAAGTTGGACTAACAAAGGAATATCCAAAACACAAAATCTCTTTGGAAAACTTAACCTTGACCTTAATTAATCAACCAATTATAAAATTCAGTGTTTCAAACAAGGACTTTTCCCACACATTTTACAATACATTAAAATGTCACAGTTTAGGGAAACCTTGAAGGAATTGTGGGAAAGGAAACTTAACTGCAACATTCCTGATGATGAATGGAAAGATGCTTTGAGAAATGTAAAGTCATTTACTAAAGGGAAGCAATTTTGCCACTAATGATTAGTCACAATTAACAACTTCTATCAATTTAAACAATAATCTTTTATTTTTGGTACTTGGAATAACTGACCCAATTATTACTGATAAATATAAAAAGCTCAATGCAAATTTTCTGTGCAAGAAAATGACTCCACATTAACTTGATCAGCTCCAAGATCAAATGGGAAAAGGATATCCTCAATTATAAGCAGAAACATTGGGCAGCATTAGGTCGTTCATAAGTGGTCAGACCGTCCTGCTGGATAATGTGGTGCAATCATGATCTTTTTACAAAAGATTATGCGATGGCGGTGAAAAGGGGGCTTGGGGGCGGTCTCTGCGCTGCCACGGACTTCAGTTTATCTTGGACATAACTTGCTTTTTATTGCGATCAAAGCCACACTCATTAAGCTTTTTTAACAAGCCGCTCCAGAAGATGTCTGTCCCCGTGCAGTCTCTGGTGATCTGAGCTTCAACTCTTACGGAGAGAGGCTCCCCATCATCTCAGCTGATTCTGTTTAGAAAAGCCAAACTTACGGCCCATGTTTGCTTTCATTTTCAATATAGTTGCCGGCCGGAGCTCGGCAGTAACTGCCCACGTGATCATGATACCCTCTGTTGCGCCAAGTTGTAATATGCATTCACAAGTCCGGCGTTGCGGTAAAATTGGTATCAACCGTGGCAGCACGAATGCCTCAAAATGCCCCCAACACCATGCCGCCACGGTGCGTTTACACGTACGCTGATTTCCCGGCATGGTGTGTCCTAAAAGAGGCTGTCTCTCGTGTTTATCTGACATGACTGTTGCACAATAAAGATTATATTCTTTCTGACCTGATAAAGGGGGAATGGAGGTGCCTTGCCCTGTTCCAGTCTCTGGTCCACTGTCTCCTGCTGCTCTCTCTCGGATTTCTCCAAGCTCGTTCTCACCAGCTGACACACTCACTCTCTTTGGAAAATACTGCAGAATTCCCGCCTGTATCTGACCCTTTCTTTTCATGTTCTCTATTACAGTGCCAACTATTAACACACAAAATGCAGATTACAAAAGAAGTACATGGATTAGCAAGGGCTAACGTTTTTTCACAAGCCTTTAACATTACTGTTAACTAATGTCGGCATTGCTTTCCATTTGACTTATTGTCAGAAATGACTTACATAGCAACTGTGAGTAAACAGTGATTCATGACTTACCAAAAAACTCCTCATAACGTGAACTCTCTTCAGATGTCGGTTGAAAGTTCTCCCTCCTTGGAATCTTTCAAATCTTCTTCTGTTAGATTTCACACACTATTTTGCTCCTTAGCGCCACGCGGCCACTAGTGTTTGGACTCGGAATTGCATCCACCTACAATCTCATCACCGCACAAAGGACAAATGAGTGACAGGACAGGGGCACTACAGGGGCTAATCAGATTTCAGCAGGGGCCAGTGCCCCTGTGGCCCCGCCCCTAGAACCGCCAATGGGTCATGATGCTTTCCAGGAAGGCACAGTAAAAAGTCATCATGACTGAGGAGCTGACTCCAAAGCAGTTGAGCTTCAAAAGGAGATATAGCCGTTGGTGGCACTTCCTGAGAATCTCCTCTGTGTTAGCAGAGAATTTCAGGAGGTTGTCAAAGGTGGTTCCCAGATACTTGTACTCCTCCACTACCTCCACTGGGTTCCCATGGATAATGGTGGTTACTGAAGCAGCCGGATCCCTCTGCCTCCTGCAGAAGGTCACCACCATGGTTTTGGTTTTGCTCACATTCAGTTCAAGTTTGGAGCTGTCACACCATTCTACAAACTCCTGAAGAGCAGGTCTGTGGTGTTGTGAGGAGCCTGACAGCAGTGATAGGAGGACTGGATCATCAGCGTATTTCACCAGGTGACAGTTGGGATGTGTGGATCTGCAGTCGTCGGTGTAGAGGATGTAGAGCGGGGGGAGAGCACACAGCCCTGGGGTGAGCCGGTGGAGGTGGAACGGAGACCTGAGAGCAGAGGTGGAAAGAGTACTAAAATGTTGTACTTAAGTACAAGTATAATTACTTTCATGAAATTTTACTCAATTACAAGTAAAATTACCTGCCTCAAAATGTACTCAAGTAAAAGTAAAAAGTAGCTTATTTCAAATGTAGTCAGAGTAAAAGTTACTTAGTTACTTTTTTGACTGTGCAAGGACGGGCTCTTCTGAATAGTTAAAAAAAAGACAATGGGGTATAAATGTCCAAGTGGCCGTTTTTTTAATTAAATGAACAAATATGCATATTGAAGTACAAAGGCATTTACACTGCAAACTAGTAACATAAATTAGGTTATAGTCACAAGCCCATGACTTTTCCCTGAATGCTTATTTAGAGCAGCTGATTTTTAAAGTTAGCAGAGTTCATCTTTGGTAGTGGGTTCACTCACTCATTTAAAGATATCGGCCAGAGGCTAAATTTGTTTGAACAGCATTTGTAAATGTGTATTAAAATCTCAGATGAAAAAGGCTTTTGGATTTTGATGGCTGGAATTGGAAGAAAATCTGATGTTTGTGACCGGCGCAGGAAAAACAAACTAACGTCCGGTCTAAGCCCTGGACAGCTGGTGACGTTTCACATGGAGCTCTGCTGAAACAGCTGTAGTAAACAACGCCTGGCTCCGCTGTTTCTGCGTTAGCGTTATAGCAGAGAACAATGTGTCATCAATCAGATGTAGCTTCTGAAGCCTCTACTAGTCCATCAGATTTGTTTTTTCTCTGGGATACGGCGACGAGAACGGATGTTAGATTACTGGAGAAGTTCAACCGAACTCCGACCCCGCCAGCTGGATATCACTACCAGAGGTGCAGACATGTTTTAGACCGTTTGACTCAGAAGACCTGCGACCTGATTTGGACATAGAGGAGGATTCTGTTCATCTTCAGAACCAAAATCGGTACAGTTTGTTTACTTTTCTTAAATATTTCATTTCTGTGCTCCACTGGGAGCTCTAAGCTGACAAGTTTTCAGCTGGTCTTAGCTCCATCATGTGTCCCAATATAGTTCAGTAATCTACAGTTTTACTGCTGTGTGTTTTATTGATATAACTCTGGAAAATATTTAACCGACAGTTTACCAGAATAAATCCTCCTGATGCTGGAGTAACTCCTTAGCTCAACTCGTTGTTTGCACTAATCCAGGATGTCATGGAGGTTTTAATGTTGAAATATAGAGATCATCTTTTAGATTATGTGTGTGTGTGTGTGTGTGTGTGTGTGTGTGTGTGTGTGTGTGTGTGTGTGTGTGTGTGTGTGTGAGAGTGCGTGCGTGCGTGTGTCGTAGCTTTCCCAAAGGACTTGTTCTTTCCTTACCGGAGCGAACACGGTTAGTTTTGCTGCAGTCATGCTAACGGGACTCGTCTAGAGTCCAGAGGTAGCGGTGCGGTTCTAGATGGATTTATAGATGTAGGTTATTATTTTAGATCAGACCTGTTATTTAAAAATGCGTGTAGGACACAGACACATGGCTCAGACCTTTTGCTGCAGCTGTAAACGCAATTTTACGTAATAATTAGGAGCATCAAAGTAAACAAATAACAGTGATTCACAATATTAGCATCAGCAGCTAGCTTGTTTTACGTGCTGGAGTGACGTATGCGAAACACAGTTCTTCACTGTCTGGAGGAGAGGATTTGGATTTTCTGTAATGATTTATGACAAAAGTCCTTAATAAAATAAAAAACTGGACCCAGTACATGTTTATATAGATGGTAAAGTGTAGTTATTTTGCATTTCTACAATTTTAATGCCTTTAACCCTTCACCACTGAAACCAGTTTGTTCATCCCAATCCTCCTAAATAATCCTCCAATCATCCAACTGGAATCCTTAAGGGTCCCGTAACGTACATCCTGTCAGAACAGGCCGTGGGAGCCCAGGTGTTACTAGAACTAACTGTGTCTCCTCACCAGCGTGAGCCTCCAAACTGTGAAGGTTGGTCTCCAAATATGAACTTCAAATTCATGCATTTATCTCCTCTTGTAACACTTTAACATGTTTTAAAAGGCTTGCATCATGATAAGTTACACCTCCCAGACCAAAGATAGGTCCAATATAAGATAAAACATTATCATAAACACTGCAGAGACATCATTGTTTATTAAATACAAGTTATTTTCCTGAGCCATTACTTCAGCCAAGATATAGGATGCATGGATTTGATGAAGCCATGCTGTCTCATGCAGTCCCACACACACACACATACACACACACACACACACACACACGCCACACGCGCACACACACACACGCACACACACACACACACACACACACACACACACACACACACACAGCAGCAGCAGCAGCATGTTAGAATCATTTGAATGACTAATTTAACTACACTGAACTGCTTTAGTAATAATTTAATCTCTTATTCTGGAGTAAAAAAAAAAAGAAACAAGCTAAATCATCACATATCTGTGGCATCAAGAAGCATCTTCTGAGTTCAAACACAGGGATGGAGCACAATGTTTACACCTGAACAGTATCAGGATTAACTCACAGAGGCCTGCAGGTCTTCTGTTTTATGAGCAGAGCGCTGAGAGTCCACTTGTTAGGAGCGCTAAACGTAATTTTGCCGCTTCCGTGCGCGGTAAGGAAACACATTTGAAACACGGAACCGAGTCTAGTTGCCGAACCGAGCAGAATTCTGATGACGTCACACCGGTGCGCGA